CACACACACACACACACACACCACCCCACCCGCCTACTCCAAAGGGATCCCAGTGTGGAAGACATCATCAGGCGGTCCAGGAGGTTGCAGAACCCAGTCGCGTCATCCCTGGATGGGCGGTGCGCGGACCGGAGGTGAAGGGGGAGAACGGAGGGTGTTTTCCAGCTTTAAAAGCACCGGAGCCGGCCTCTAAAACAAAGCGCGCTGCGTCATCGACCCGGGGAGACTTTGAAAAATACGTGGAGAAAATAAAAATAAAAACTCCGAAGCGAACCAAATTCTCCTCACCAACCCGCTGCCTGCTGCCCGATCCATTTATTTCAGTTTGACATCGTCTGCTCTGAGATAAGAGTCAGATTTCTGTGCTTCACGGTGCATCAGGTGAAGCAGTTTAATACTTGAGAATAACATCATCAGCGGAGCGGGCTTTGGAGAAAGTTGCGCAGCGCTTGTTGAATGCAGGACACCTTCAGCCCGAGCGTCAGACCCAACTTCGGCTTTGGAGCGGGAGCCGGGAAGGCGCGGGGACTTCTCACTTCTCTCACCACCGATATGAAGTCTGCAGAGGAAGGTAAAGCATGATGCCAAAGTACTCAGCCTAGTCTCTTTCATCACTAAACTGCATGCGCGATTTAGTTTATAAAGATGCATTTATGCACAATTTATCTCAACACATCATGTAAATCAATTGGGATCTTGTTGAAATATAGTCCTGCTGAAGTTTGTTTTTATTTATGTATTTATTTATTTTTTTACTTTAAAAAGAAGCAAATGAGTTCATGTAAACTGACATTTAAAGCACGGTTTCTATGAGATGACTTTAAAAAAGACAAATAAGCCAGCAGCCGCAAACTTGACATTAGTGGCCACGTCATGAGTTTCACATGACATCATAGACGCTACATTTTATTTTGCTTAAGCTCTGAAGAATCTCAAAAGTTTATCTACTGTTTGGCATGCACCTTTATTCCCCCCCACCTGCGTCTGTGCAGGTGCGTCTCTTCATGAGCAGTTTAAGCTGAGGGAGGGTGGGGAGGGCTGGAGTTTCATTGCGGCTGTCAACTGCAATCCTCCTGTGGAGGATGTATATATATAT